AGCATATCTCAAACTAATGAAATATGTAATGGCAGAATTAGTTCTCCCATATTTAAGTGGTTAAGATGTAAATGGAGTTGTTCAAAGTGTGAAACACTGTTCTAGAGAAACTTAGAACTGTTCACAGTGGTGGTGATAGGAACCAGACGTCCACCTCTAAAAGCTCCCTCACAGAAAGTTCCTACATGAAATGGTTATGAATTCGCTGCCTGATGACTGACAATAACATGTTGAGCTGCTTGGTGTTCGGCTCACAGCAGAACTTTAAAAACATGAGTTTAGAGATCTTGTGAGATTCATCACAGCAAAATGAAGTGTTGTCATAATATGACTAGAAAACAAATGAAAATAACTCTTCAGAGAAGAATGGAAGGTTAAAAACCCATGTAAATCCATGGCACTTCAGGGCTTCCATCAGAGGCTCGGATGGTTTTCTCCTGTCAGGTTGGAGGTGATCTTGGCTCTGTACAGCTCAGAAGGAGCCTGTTAATGAGCTCCCTCAGCTCCACAGATGTGTGGAGTCACCAGGGCTGAGATTGGGAACCCCTAAGATGGTGTGTGAACATCTCAATGTTCTAAGCCTGCCGATGTTCTTAACAGCCAGGGTGGTTCTCTGAAGCAGGAACACATGATCAGCTGTTCAAAGAACTGCAGATTAACCTCTTCAGCTCCTTGAGACCACCAGTGGTTCCAAAACGCACTTTGTCATATTCTTTACAACTTTCATATTTCATAAGCTACATTCTAAAGGTGGGGGTCGTATGAGGCTAGGTCTTCTTTCCAGTCAAATAGATGGTGATGTAATTTTAAACCCTTATAATAAAAAACTATTTTTTTTTACTCAAAGTTGAATCATTTTTCCACAAATCTGGGCTATAGACTATAAACGGATGCCATCTCTTCAGTGATCTGCTAAAATAATACAAAGAGCATCTAAGATTTTGGGCTTTCAGCAGTAAATTGTAAGCATATAGCAATATGTGTATGATCATAAAACACATTCTGTTAATCTGAGGGAAGATTTTACAAATAAAATTTACATTTCATGCAGTTCCTTAATAATTTGTCTTACAATTCAAGCATGTAAATTCAGATGGACAAACCAAAATACACCCTGCGGACAAGCCCCATTCTATACACTTAAAGATGGTTCTTCGGTAAAGAAAATGGTTCTATACAGAACTATGAACTCTCACAGACCCCTTTGCATGACTAAAGGGTTTTTCAGAGTGAAGGAGAACATGCTGTAGCTGGTTCTATGTAGAACCTTTTTGAAAGCATTTCTAATGAAGCATATAAAGAGGACTGCCTGAAGAAAACATTTGCCCACTCAGTTATGATATGGAGTCACTTGTTGGGTAAAGCAGTGTTTCTCTGTTCTGGTCCTGGAGGCTCACTGCCCTGCATATTCTAGCATTTGCTCTGTTCAACACTCCCGATCCAACTCATCAGATCATTAACAGCCCATTATTGACTTAAAGTGGCAGGAAAAGCACTAAAATGTGCAGGGCAGTGGGCCTCCAGGAGCAGGGCTGAGAAACGCTGAGGTGAAGGACCAGAGAGGTGGTCATTCTAACAGTGAGTGAACAGGTGTGCAATAAAATGTTTGTGTAAAACATCTTTCCATCAAGAGAAAAGTTTGGTCACACTCATTTTTCAGCATGGTGATGCGTCTCTCCGCAGAGCAAGAAGGGCTGAAGATTTTCTGTAGGAACAGCAGATCAACACAATCACACGGCCAGCAAACAGCCTGGATCTCAAACCACTGGCCCACGATGAGGCTCGGTCCAGCAAAGCTGGTTTGTCAACTGGTATTGGAGAAACTGGAACCAGCTTGATGTAGAAATGTTTATTAGTGAAGTCCTCAAAGAGTTCAGGCCATCATAGAAGCCAGCAAAGAGCAACAAAGTACTACTTGTGTTTGTTGATTCTATAAATCTCACTTGATTTTGTAAGTAGTTATATTTAATTTGTATAATTAACTATTAGTTTGTTACACTAAGCCAGAATGTTCAGCTATCAGGAAGTCATCTTATTTACTACAAAGTTGGGGGAACAGGTTCCATGTGTGGAGAGTCTATGATTTACCAGGGTTATACCTACAGATGGACCATCAGCACCATCTCAGAACAGCACCAACTGGCAGCTCTTCAGCCTCTGATTAAGAAATGATCAAACAGCCACCAACAGTGAGGAATGCCTGAAGTTTATTCAGAAATGAAGTGTGGAGGTGTTGAGCTGGTGGAGCCAAGAGCTCATGGAGCCATGAGCTCATGCACTGACTGACCACCACACGCAGACGCTGCAGGATTGTGGGACGTTGATAGAAGTCGACTCTTGGACAGCTGAGCTCTGGAATCAGAACAGTCACACTAAGCGATCCCCTTCACACGACAAAGAGCTTAGAACATTTGGACTCCAGATGGAAGCAGCCTTCAAGCTCAGGTGTTCCTCACTGCCGGAGCTGGAGCTCCAGCACGGTTTTGGGTTCTCCCGCCTCAACACAGAAGCACGGCTCTCAGCAGAAGAACCCCAGCGGTGCTGCAGCTCCAGGCCTGGTGAGGCTGTGGTCCTGTTTTACCTTTACCTTTTCACCTGCCCTTCATCTCCACCACTCCTGCAGAAGCTCCAGAACCTTCATCTCCATCCCAGAGCATCAGCTTCTTCTCCCCCAAGGTATTATGGGTATCTAGACCCAAACAATTCAGACAGTGTGAAAGTCTGGCAAAGCAAGCCATTAAAACACAGGGCTGTGTTTGAGGAGTGAGTCACTTTAAATAGTCGATATTTTATTAACAGGACATCTGTGGAAAGTTTCTGATGAATCTGCAGGGAAAATTTAAAAAAAAGCCCTGTTGTGAATGTTTACATGGGGTGGGGGGCAACAACATGGGGCACCTAGCCAACCAGGAGAAGCTTGTAGACTTGTCATGAAAGTGGTTTATGTATGAAAAATCAGATGTCAGGGGAGGACAGCAAGACATCCAGATTATAATCTGGTAAAACATCCTAAAAGGGTCCAAATCAGCACTTGGTTAACCCTGTAACCCCCACTACAGTAATAATGCACTAAACATCCTCAAACCTCTGTAGTCTCTGACCAGTAGGAGCCCATCCTCACGTACCAGCTCCCGTTCAACCGGAGACCCGAACGCTGCAGCAGGAGAACAGCCATCAAACTGAGCACAAGCAACACACAGACCAGCCACACAGCCAGAAAAACAGCCAAGGACTGAAACTCACCATGAGAGATGAGCACCAGCAGAAAAGACAGCACAAAGAACCTGTGAGGAACCATCATGAAGTTCAACAGAAGCCCAGCCTGATCTCCAGCATCAGCCTGTGGAGGGGCGTTAAATAGCAGCAGTGATGCGGCTCAGGTGTGAGCCTCACCTGGACATTGTTAAGAGGGCTGCTTCACACATAGCCGAGCTGAGCTCTCACAGTGCCACCTGCTGGACAATGAAGGCTCCTTCACTGGAGCTCTCGAGCAGTTCCCTGGCTGATCTGAGAGCTTTTGGTGTTCAGGGACACTGAGTTCTCCAACCAATCTGAGAGCTTTGAGAGCTTCTAGCTGGGTTCTCCGACTGACCTGAGAGCTTTGAGAGCTTCCAGCGTTCAAGAGTGCTGGGTTCTCCGACTGACCTGAGAGCTTTGAGGGTGTCCAGTGTTCAGAAGTGCTGGGTTCTCTGGGTGATCTGAGAGCTTTGAGAGCTTCCAGTGTTCAGGTGTGCTGGGTTCTCCAGGTGATCTGGGAGCTTTGAGAGCTTCCCATGTTCCACCCACAAATCTGACACACAGTAATATGTGGGTTGCAGATAAACGACATATATAATCATGTATGGATTTCCATCATATATCCAACTCATATTAGTCATATGTGGACACAAACTTATTTAATCTCATAATGTGATGGAGAACGTTAATGTATGGAAGGTGTATATTAATCGTATATGCTTTGTTATATAATAAAAGGTTTACATGGCCTTTCTTACATTAGTTCACTACACCTTTAAAAAGATGGTTCTTTAAGAGTTCTTTATTAAAAAAAAAGGTTCTGTATATAACTGTGAACACTGAAGAACCCCTTGCATGATTAATGGGTTCTTAGCATCATGAAATGGTTCTGCAGAATAATGGAGAATGTGCTTTCAAAAAGTGTTCTTCTATTGTTAGGATGTCAAGCTTGTAACAATAGCAGAACGCTTTTTGGTGCTATATAGAACCCTTTCATGGTTCTTAAAAGAACTACTGCTTTTACTAAAGAACGCTTGAAGAACCTTGCCCTCTGCTGGTCAAAATTGGTGTAACCTGCTATATGTTAACTAATTCTAAAAAAAATGTGAGAGAAAAAACTTGTGAGGTTTTTAATTTCTGAAATTGTAAAAATGACGCTAGAAATGTTCATGACTGATTTGGTAAATTACTCAGACAGAAACAATAAATAAATAAATAATGTGGAATTATAAACTTTGACTTAAGACTCAGAAACGCGGTTTAAATGTAGTTTTCACCACCAGTGAACCTACACGAGTCTTCTGAGCTTATATGAATGTTGATGATGATAATAGTGGAAAATCTGAAATAATAAGTTTTCTTTGGGGACTATTTTGCCTCACAGCGCCCTGCATGTATCCCTCCACCATGAATGGAGTTTAAGTTCTCTAAACTATCATAAAACAGTGTCTCAGTCATCAGGCAGTGAATTCATAACCATTTCATGTAGGAACTTTCTGTGAGGGAGCTTTTAGAGGGGGACGTCTGGTTCCTATCACCACCACTGTGAACAGTTCTGACTCGGTAAGTTTATCTAGAACGGAGCGTTTCACACCAAACCACTCTGAACCTCTCTGAACCACTCTGAACCGCTCTGTTTACATCTTAACCACTTAACTATGCAGAAATTTGGAAAATCAGTGTGATGTTCGTGAGGAGCCGAGAGCCAGAAAAACAAAATGATCTACAAATAAAGAAAATAGGTTTTTTAATAATTTGACAATATTTCTTTATACTTTGTTACAAAAATACTTCAAATGTACAATTTTACAAGGAAACGATTAATGTAAAGTTATAAGTATAAAATATGTTTGTTTTTCCGTTGGGTGGGGCGGAGGGGGTTAGAGTCACTTTCTGGGGGTCAAATTAAACTTATCAGCGGGCCAACTTTCGGCAGCCCCTCAGCCTTAGAGGCTCCGCCCACACGGACACAGTAGGCTTGTTTGACAGCATCCCTGCCGCCTGACCCCTGGCTGGGCTGTTTTTCAGGGTTTGGGCTCTCAGTTCCAGTGAAGGGTGATGTTGATGCTGCAGCACAAAGACATTTTACAGTTTTCTGCTTCCAGCTTTGTGGCAGCAGTTTGGGGAAGAGCCTTTCCTGTTCCAGCATGACTGAGCCCCTGAGCACAAAGCAGCTCCATAAAGACATGGAGTGACCAGTTTGGTGTGGAGGGACTCCAGTGGCCTCACAGAGCCCTGACCTCAACCCCACTGAACACCTTTGGGATGAACTAGAATGGAGATTGTGAGCCAGACCCTCTCGTCCAACATCACCTCACAAATGCTCTTCTGGATGAATGGGCACCAATTCCCACAGACTCTCTCCAACATCTTGTAGAAGCTTCCCAGAAGAGTGGAAGCTGTTAGAGCTGCAAAGGGGGGCGACTCCATATTAATGCCTATGGTTTTGGAATGGGACGTCCAACAAGCTCATAGAGGTGTGATGGTCAGGTGTCCACATACTTTTGTCCATATACTGTACGTTAGCATAGTTATCTAAACAGTAACTGAGTTATAGTAGCCTGTTTAGCTACAGCTGCCTAGTTAACTAAGTTGGCCCAGTTAGCTGTAGTAGCTAAAGTTAACTGAGTTAGTTAGCTATATTAGCCTAATTAGCTACAACTGCTTTGTTAACTATGGTAGCCCAGTTAGCTGTAGTAGCTAAAGTTAACTGAGTTAGTTAGCTATATTAGCCTAATTAGCTACAGCTGCTTTGTTAACTATGGTAGCCCAGTTAGCTGCAGTAGCTAGGTTAACTAAATTAGTGCAGTTAGCTGCAGTGAGTCAGTAGATACAGTTAACTGAGTTAGTTAGCTATAGCTTCCTAAATCACTATCTGATAGTGGTGAGCTGCGTAGGCTCAGCTGGATTCTGATTGGCTATGCACATGTTCCCTTTTTTGTTTCCAGCTAAATTCCAGTCAGCAATAGCGAACAGCTGCCTGCACTGGATGCTGTGGGACTGTGTCACGATCACCGCCCCCAGCTTGCTTCAGTTAAATGGTGCACTGTGATTGGTCACATCAGTCAGACAGCCTCTTCCTGACAACGCAGGCGGTTCTTGGTCACATTATGTGATAAAAAGGGCCAGAATCTCCACCAACAGGGAGAAATCTGCATTGTGAGACTAGGAATCCTAAACCCTAGCCCCTGTACCCTAACCCCTGACCCCTAATCCCTAGCCCCTGTACCCTGACCCCTAGTGCCTAGCCCCTGTACCCTGACCCCTAGTGCCTAGCCCATAATCCCTAGCCCCATACCCTAGCCCCTGACCCCTAGTGCCTAGACCCTATACCCTAACCCCTGACCCCTAGTGCCTAGCCTCTGTACCCTGACCCCTAGTGCCTAGCCCCTGTACCCTGACCCCTAGTGCCTAGCCCCTGACCTCTGGGGCCTAGCCCATAATCCCTAGCCCCTGTACCCTAACCCCTGACCCCTAGTGCCTAGCCCCTCATCCCTAGCCCCGTACCCTAACCCCTGACCCCTAGTGCCTAGCCCCTCATCCCTAGCCCCTGTACCCTAACCCCTGACCCCTAGTGCCTACCCCCTAATCCCTAGCCCCTGTACCCTAGCCCCTGTACCCTAACCCCCGACCCCTAGTGCCTAGCCCCTCATTCCTAGCCCCTGTACCCTACCCCTGACCACTAGTGCCTACCCCCTAATTCCTAGCCCCAATCCCTAGCCCCTGTACCCTAACCCCTGACCCCTAGTGCCTAGCCCCTCATTCCTAGCCCCTGTACCCTACCCCCTGACCCCTAGTGCCTAGCCCCTGACCCCTGGGGCCTAGCCCATAATCCCTAGCCCCTGTACCCTACTCCCCTGACCCCTAGTGCCTAGCCCCTCATCCCTAGCCCCTGTACTCCTAATCCCTAGCCCCTGTACCCTAGCCCTTAACTCCTCCTCCTCCTCCTGCTACCGGAGGAACACCACAGTGAGTAATCCTGAAAGAGAGAGAGAGCGAGAGAGAGAGATAGAGTTAATACCAGATGAGTTAGAGTTACGTTAGTATAATTACTGATCCACAGTGGTGTGTGTGTGTGTGTGTGTGTGTGTGTGTGTGTGTCTCACCGAGTGTGTATGCGCACACCAGCTTGTGTGTGAGGGTGACGTGTGTGTGAGGTGGTAGCAGGGTGGAGGGCTCAGTGTGCAGAGGGAGCATTAACACCACCACACACACCACACTCACCAACACCAACACCACCGACTGGGTCACACTCCCACCTGAGCAGGAACACAGACACTCATCATCATCATCATCATCATCATCTTCATCATCATTAAAGCGATAGTTCAGTGGAAAAAAAAACTTTTTTAAAGGGGAACTCCACCATTTTTTCCCAGAATTTCTGTATAATAAATTGGTTAAGATAGTTTCTATGGAAACGTACAGAGTCAGAACCAGGATAGGAGTCAGGATAGGAACCAGACGTCCACCTCTAAAAGCTCCCTCACAGAAAGTTCCTACATGAAATGGTTATGAATTCACTGCCTGATGACTGAGACACTGTTTTATGATAGTTTAGAGAACTTAAACTCCATTCATGGTGGAGGGATACATGCAGGGCGCTGTGAGGCAAAATAGTCCCCAAAGAAAACTTATTATTTCAGATTTTCCACTATTTTCCATCATCAACATTCATATAAACTCAGAAGACTCGTGTAGGTTCACTGGTGGTTCTGGATAGTAAATAAAATGTCTATATCTGTGTTGTAGTCATGGCGACCCCTGGTTCCCTATCACCACCACTGTAAAGACATCTGAACCACTTCACACCAAACCACTCTGCATGACTGAAATTATGGGGGAATTTTGGAAAGCTGGTGGAGCTCCCCTTTATGGTGTAAGAGCAGTCTCAGACCTGTGGTGGGGCAGTAGAAGACCCGTGCGGTGTTGGAGGGTGGTAGTGGTGTTGGTGGGGGTAAGTTGGCTCCCCTAAAGCTCTCCTGCCCCTCCCTCAGCTCTGCCCCCACCTCCCTGCTGCCCCTCTGCCCCCCGGGCCCCCAGATGTCCAGCCTGAAGCGGCTCCTCTGGCCCCACAGCCGCCGGCTCACGTCCCTCTGCCTCACCACACTGCACACAGACACACAGGGGCATGCTGGGAAACGCAGTTCCACACAGTCTGTATCGCTACAGAGAGCGTATGAGAGAGTTTAAGGGCGAGAGACACTTACATATCAACACAGGAGCGAGACCTGACACTGCCCTCAGCCTCGGTCACCGAGTACAGAGAGGGGGCGGTACACCACACTGAGAGAAAGAGAGAGAGAGAGAGAGAGAGGAGGGGACGGGGAGAGAGAGAGAGAGAGAGAGAGAGAGAGAGAGAGAGAGAGAGAGAGAGAGAGGGGGGGGGGAGAGAGAGAGAGGAGAGCGCGGGGGAGAGAGAGAGAGAGAGTAGAGAGAGAGGAGAGAGAGGAGAGAGGAGAGAGAGAGGAGAGAGAGAGAGAGAGTGAGAGAGAGGAGGGGCGGGGGGAGATAATGAGCGTATATCAGTGCTGAAGGCGCGGCTCTGAGGTAATGGGGGGTTCAGGTCCCCACAGAGCGCTAACCCTACCCTTGTATGTGAGGGTGCAGCCGTAGGGGTTGTACAGGGTGAGCACTCTGCGCTGAGACCTGCTGTCCTCGGAGTAAAACACCAGCTCTGCGGGAAACACGAACACGTGCAGCCTGCGCACTCCTCCATCCCTCCCTCCGTCCATTCCTCCGTCCGCCGCCATCTCCGCCCGTCACTCTGCCGCCATCTGCTGGACGGACAGAGAAGCGCAGGAGGAAGAGTCTGAACCAGCGTCGAGTAAAACTTCTATTTACACACGTCACTACGTCTTTTAGACGGTCACCTCGAACGTGTGCGAGGTTTAAAACGTGGGTACGTGAAGTTCTCACTGTGTTTTTGCAAGAATTTTCTTACAGCAGAAGAATTCCCCGTTCCACCTTAAATGGTGCAGCAGTTACGTTATAATGCCTGAGGCGCCATAATGTAACTGCTGCACCATTTAAGGTGGAACGGGATAATTCGAAGAGGAAGTTCGTTTTTCTTGCATAATAAGTAACTTTTTGAGCTGTTTACGTAAACAAACTGCGTCCTTAACGCATTTTATACATAAATAAATATTCAGAAAGGGGTTTTGACCCCTGAACGTGCTGGGGGTGAAAGTGAAACCAAACTAAAGGAGGTTTAACTAACAACAACGACCATCTGACCCTCAGAAAGGTTCTAAAAGGTTACACTGAGAGGTAAACAGCTGTGTCCGTGACCGGCCCCGTCATTTATACCTTTATTCTATAATTAAAAGCGCTTATTCTCCATTATTAACACAGTTATGCAGTCAGAGCTGTCAGAGCTCCTCTTACTCACCCCGAACTCGCGCCCTAGGCCCCGCCCCTCTGCGCCGTCCACCAATCAGAGCGCGCCAGGGGACTAAACTGAGGATTTCATTGGTCTTCAAGATTTGAGTTTGTTTATTCATTTTTTTTTCTATTCGATGTAGACAGCTTTCAAGTCGATGACGTCAGCGCGACCTCGGTGGCTGCGGTCCAATAACGTTTCAGGACACGCCCAGTTTTAAAATAATAAATATTAATAAATGTATAAAACGGCTACGATGCAGATTGAGAGCTGAGGTCAAAACGACAAACGTAAAATAATAATAATAATAATAATAATAATAATAACGTTTAACGTGGAACTACATGTTCCATAAAGCACACGGGAATGACGTCACACTTTCTACTTTTATTAATATCATTATTATTCTGTTTTTCCTTTGTAAATTGTTATCTGTGGTGCATGTTGTCGTTTTCTCACTCCTTTCCGCAGGTGGCGTGGTGAAACACGTACTGTGAACGTGACTATCTGGCCGCTGTGGGATTGTGGGAAACGTAGTCCTTAAGCTCGCAGGTGGTTTAAACGCTTGTAATCTGTGATTTGAAGGCAGCTGGAGGGGATAAAGCCTAAACAGTCATCCTGTTTAGGAGCCCGGTGGTCTGTTATTACCGTAATTACTCTATTTTACTACTGAAGTTCACTCTTAAAAAGCTTGAAAAGGGAACTAGGCGTGTTAAAGTCGAATTTTCTCATTCGTTTTTACATTTGTGCACATTTATAGATCTCCTTAGAGGCGTGTTGGCGTAAAAAAGACTACAGAAAGCTCAAAAAGGTACTTTTGTATGCCCAAAAAACGAGCGTCTTTACTCAGAATTGGAATTCTCCGTTCCACCTTAAATGGCGCTGCAGTTACATTATGGCGCCTCAGGCGCCATAATGTAACTGCAGCGCCATTTAAGGTGGAACGGGGAATTCCAAAAAAAAAGCCAGCTTTTTCGGTCTAACTCAGTCACATTAGTCACTAATGTGATATAAATAGTGTCTATATCTGCTTTATTGGTTAAATGTTTAAGTGCTCGTGTCTGTTTCTCTCTTCTAGGCCTTGTATTGATAGCTAAGCTAAGCTAATCCCCAGCATGGTGAAGGCCCTGAAGGAGCTCCGCAGGTTCCACCTGGAGAAGAAAGCTGTGGTGGTTAATAAGACTCAGGTCGTGTTGGGGAACCTTTCCTGGCCCAAAGACACGAAAACTAAGTTTGCTGTGAGCGGGTAAGACCTCAGACCTGCTGTTTACATAGCACTGAGCAGTAATACATGCTGTGAAGACCCATCTTCCCACCTTTAGATGAGCGCTCTTACGGTTAGGAAGTAGAATTAGGGTCTGAATATTACTCACTTTAACACAACTAATAAAATGTGCATTCAGGATGTCTGGGCCGTGGTTAGGTGTCCGTTAGCATGATGCTAATGCATATTTTGAAGCCTTTTTAAAGGCTTTCTTGGTTATTTTTCAGAACAGTGCACTGTCCAGTGTTTGAAAGGCTCTGAATCGTTATTGTTCAAATAAGTCTCTTTTTTTTGGCCATTTAGTCCCAAATGAATCACATTAATTGATACTAATTGTAATCTAATTGCTTATATAATGGACAGTGCTATGGTAGAGTGAGGACTGTCCACTAGAAGTTGGTCAGGCTTGTCTTTGGCCTTGTCTGCACTCTTAAGGAAGATGGTTCTCCAAGGTAATGAATGTATTTAGAGCCATTTGCATGCTTAAGTGGTTCTTTTCATGGTGAAATGGTTCTTCAGATTGAGGGAGAATGCATTCATGGTTCTATGTAGCGCCTACTGTTATGATGACAAGCTTGTAACAGTAGAAGAACCATTTATGGTGCTATATAGAACCATTTCACCATGCAAAGACCCATTTATGCATAAATAGAACCATTCATTTTACTAGAGACCCCTAGAAGAACCATCTTTCTAACTCAGAACCCCAGCTGTATGAAGCTGCCCCAGTCTTGTGTGGGCTGAAGTTAATGTTGGTCTCCGTTCTGGACCAGGTGTGATGAGCGCTACACTCTGGAGTCGGTGGTCTTCCTCCTGCAGAACGCTAACCTTCAGCATGACCACTATCTGAGACGAGCTGCGGTAGGCTGGACGCTGGTTTGGTTTGGTTTAAGTGACCCTTGGTGTGTTTGGATGGTCCTCATAACTCGTAAACCTGTGAATTTTCAGATTCAGATTTTTCAGAAATAAATGATACAACAACACCAAGTGAATTGGGTGTGTTGGGAGACGAATAACGAATAAATCAATAGTTAATAAATAAACAGTAAATGCATTAATTCAGACATGATTAGACTTATGAAGCAAAAGTTCTCACCTCAGACTTGGTTCTCCAACATGTTTACCACAGTTTTTAGCATGTGTGCTAGCAGAATAAGAGTTCTTTTGTTTGTATTTTCATTCTAACAAAGAGCATCACTTAGTATTGGCTGCTAAATAAACATACACACTTAACAAAGATGGTTCTTCCAGAGTTCTTTAGTAAAGAACCAAAATGGGTTATTCTATTGTAACAAGCCTGACATCATAACAATAGACAATTCCTTTTGCGTGCTATATAGAACCCTTTTCACAAAGGTTCTGTTTATAGAACCATCCATAGCACATTCTCCATCAATCTGAAGAGCCGTTTCATAATGCAGAGAATCTTTAATAATGCAAAGGGTTTTTTGAGTGTTCATGGTTCTATATAGAACCCTTTTTTTTAACTAAAGAACCCTTGAAGAACCATCAGTTTTAAGTGTGTAGCTGGTGGAGGACATCAGCCAGTTTCATATTGTTAATCACAGTTATTTATGACAATAAATCGTCAAACATTATGATTGTGACGGCCCAACTCTGCCCCTCTCGGCCCAACTCTGCCCCTCTCGGCCCAACTCGGCCCCTCTCGGCCCCTCTCGGCCCAACTCTGGCCCTCTCAGGACTCTTTACTCACGATCTTGCTAAGAAATCTTAAGCCTGCCAGCCGAGACACTCAGAACAAATTCGGACTGCGACTGTTTTATCCTCTTTCTGCATGATGGCGATTGGTTCATATCATATTGAGAGGGCATTGGCTGCTTGGACCACAGCTGTTATGGATGGATGGATGGATGGATGGATGGAGGGGTATGTCCATCTGTCATACCCCTCTCATCTGTAAATTTAATTTCAGTGCTTCTTATGTATTTTTTTAAGGAAATAAAGGCAGTTTAACGTGACTTAACTCTCCCTGCCCTTGGACAAGACAGCCAGCTCCACTTCATTAAACCGATGAACGGCTGATGGTTCTTAAAGGGTTTTAGTAAAGAAAATTGTTCTATATAGCGTCAAAAAAAGGTTTGTCTATTGTTGCGATGGCAAGTTTGTAACAATAGAAGAGCCCTTTTTTGTGCTATATAGAACCATCTACAGCACGTTCTCCATCAATCTGAAGAACACTTCCACTGTGCAGAGAACTATTTAATCGTGTGAAGAGTTCTTTGAGTGTTTTGGTTTTAAATTAATTTGGTAATTAAATTAATTTGGCTGTGATGCTGCCTGCTTGTCTGTCGACAGTGACGTTACGGTGCGAGCAAAAACAGTGCTAGGTTTTGCGGGCAAGAATTGCGGTAGATTCTGCGGCCTCTGCTCACTGTTTTTGCAGTGCATTGTGGGAACTTTCAGGGAATGAAAGTTCCACTGTGAAGTCACAAATAGAAGCGGTAAAACTGGGCGAGTGTCTGTTACCACGGCAACACCATAGTCCATCTCAGCGGAACTGGTAGTTACAGTTCAGTGGTGATTTCTCAGTGATATGAGTTGATGAGGGCGTCCAAACTGTAGACGTTCAGGTTTGAGTGACCGTCCTGGAGGGCGAGTGACCTCTGCTGACTTCCAGCTGTCCCTCCACCACAGATCCAGAAGATTCCTGCAGTGAAACAGGCAGACAGGAGGAACATCCTGGCCTACCTCAACGGAGAACCCGGTGAGTAGAACGTTACCTTTATAGACGATTAGCTCCGTCCACTGTCAGTGGAGAACATCACTCAGCTCTTTAACGTTATGAGGATATTCACTTTCATTTCACAGCTAAGATGAAAGGCTCCTCCACTCTGACCGTGGGCCACACAAAGACACGTCCAGGTGAGGATCAGCACGTTCTGAGGTTCCCTCTTCAGGTTTACTCTGCGGCTGATCGGTGATGAAGCTGGTGTTGTGTGTTTGTGTGTGGTCAGTGAAGCGGCGCGCTGATGAAGATTCCCCCGCCGATGCGAAGCGCCCACGCAGAGAGGTCAGTGTTAAACACGGTCACGCTGCAGAACCTGCAGAGTTCTCCTGGTTCTTTAGTGTCTGTGCTCAGAGCCTGGTCAGTGTGAAGATCGCTGCTACGTTATTGTTATGTAGGTGGGCAGAGTCTCGCTATCTGTCTTAGTTTTCAAATCGATCCCTGACGCAGGACTGACTGAAAACTCGCTGTTACACGCTTCATGTTTTCGTGATTGCCATGGCGACTGTTGATAATCTCAGTCTTTGCATTCATGAAGCTAATCAGACCTCAGCTGCTGAACAAACTGGCCAATCAGATGTCCGAATCATTTTATTCTCATCAGCATTGGAGAACAGAGATCAGAACAGAGTGGGCGAGCTGACCAATCAGAGCACTCTGGGCTCATCAGGAGGCGGGGTTTAAAGACACAGAAGCTCCATTAGAGCGTTTCGGGCAGAGGGTGAATAGAGAGGAACAGTCTGAGGAAAATAATGTGTTTTTGGAACATTTGAAGCTGTTCTAGTAGAGCAAAAATAACATTTTGAACATTGAGAATGAGAATAATAGGTCCTCTTTAAACATCGTCCATCTGTGGATTTGGCAGATGAGGTCACATTTTAGAAGTGTTGCTCAGCTGTTTTTGGTAGAGGGTTTTTGTTACCAGTTCGTTCACTTGGTCACTTCAGAAAAGCTTGTCTTCAAGGTGGTAGAAGTTTCTGCAGATAGTCTGGCACTTCTGGACCACTGTTCTCACACACACACACCCCAGATCACATTTCTTCACTTATCATTCGGGTGCGTGTGTGTGTGTGTGCGCAGGATGTACGTGGAGTGTGTGATGGCGACAGAAGCTCCAGATGTGTCAGGCGTGAGACCCTCAGCCGCAGGTAAGTCAACAGCCTCCTCTGTCTGCTTCTTCAGCTGCAGTGGAGGCTCCTCTCCTACCCTGCGTTCACACCGGCAGCGACGCGATTTTCAATGAAAGCTGGTGATTTCTGGCAACAGGAGGCAGTGCGAACGTTGGTGATGCGAACGTTGGTGATGCGAAGTGGGCGGAGTCAGCGATGTGACACAGTTGAGCAGAGTTTAACTGGAGTGAAGCGATGTGGCGATTACCAATAGGAATTGAGCACTGAGCAGTTTAGTACGCGCTTTATCTCTGCCACTGTAAAACGGTACGCTCCTTTTTTGGTTCCTAGATAACTGTTCCTACTAGACATGGAATAAAGGCGGCGGTGCTTTCTGTAGTAAATACATGCAGTCAGAGCTCCTCACCTGCTGATCTGCTTGATTCACCTAATAAGTGTCTGCCCAGGGAATGTAAGTGTAGATGTGATGGGACTTTACCTCACCCCTTTTTTTTAGTCCTGTCTATAAAAGATCTTTCAATTAAACAAACCACAGTGCCATTTACAGCCCCCGTCTGCCTTTTTGTCTTATTTGTAGTTATTTGAAGTTTTGAGGTGTTTAACTGTCAGAGCTGTGGTTCTTTTCTGTTGAAAGATTACTAAAATGACTTTTGGCATTTCTTTCAGTTCAGTCTGAGGTGGGCGGGGCTAAATTTGGAGTCAGTTCTGCCGAAGCAAGCAAGCAAAGTTTATTTATGTAGCGCTTTTTACAACAGGTGTTGTCACAAAGCAGCTTTACAAGGAAATCAGCATTACAGAAAGAAATCCGGGTCTGAGCCCCCATGAGCGTCGCCAGTGGCGACAGTGGCAAGGAAAAACTCCCTAAGAGAAACAGGAAGAAACTTTGAGAGGAACCAAGACTCAGAAGGGGAACCCATCCTCCTCTGGTCGACACCGGATAGTAAACATTGTTAGTATAAAGTATTACAGCACCAATCAGAGTTATCAGTACATTAACGTCAGTGACTCTCGTTCCTCTCCCTCACACGGTGCCTGATCTCCTGCTGCTCCGAGTCTTTTGTAGATGTGTGAAGGTTTGTTACAGTGGTGTCTGTAGCGTAGCTGGGTGCTGCTTCCTGCTGGCGTTGGCCACCTGCTGCAGGATGTGACTATGCCATTACCTTCATTTACAAGAGCGTGATGGTTAGCAGTCCACCTTTATTGTAGGATTAAAATGTTTTTTAGTGCAATGGTGTCCAACCCTGCTGGAGAGCGACCGTCCTGCAGAGTCTAGATCAAACCACAATCAGCCACACCTGCTCCAGATAATGCCGAGATCAGACTACGGGATATCTTTGTCTTTCAAGATGGTCACTGGCAACACTACAAGTTAGACGTAAACCAATCATCGTTCACGTTCTTGAGTAAGTTCATAGGTTCATAGGACATGCTAGACTTTTCACTGGGGGGTCGTGGGGAGTCCCAGACACCACATTGCTGTTCTTTGATTGTCACAATACAAACCTGTTTCTCATTCCAGACTCTTAAATTCAGGCCCAGTGCTGGAAATCTGTCAACTGCGACAGTTTCATCAAAATCGGGCTGAATTTGTTTAGTCTGATCCCGGCATAATTAACTTCAGTACCTGATTGGCTGGATCAGATGCTTTAGGATAGGGTAAAGGAGGAGGGGCAGCATTTTTGATGCAGGCTGGAGCTAAACTCTGCAGGACAGTAGTTCTCCAGGACCAGGGTTGGGAGACCACTGACTTAATGATACATTAGCTACCCTCCTAACATCAGAGCTCAGTGCTTTTCCACAGTTGTATTTACTATTTAAAACGAAGTTTAAACATTTGAAACCATGCATGCATGATAGGAGCTTTTAGGTAGAACGATAGAAGCCATATCGCCCCCTACACTTCCTGTAGTGTATTACAGTGTCAGTTCCTGTCTTAGTTGGTATGGCTGTAATAGTGACCTTTGACCCCAAGCAGGTCGCCAAAGAGCAACCGCAGTGATGACCTCAAGCTCAAACTGCGGAAGGAGAGAGCGAACCGGAGTAAAGAGCAGGTGAGGAATGAGAGAGAGCGAGCAGGACAAGTTCATGTCCTTCTTATTTGAATTTTCCATTCCACCTTAAATGCTGCAGCTCTGTTCTGGCGCCTGCAGCACCATTAAAGGTGTAAAGTAAAGTGACTAATGTATCTTCTTCCTAGCCTTGTTGTTCTATTTGTCTGTTCTCTCTGTAGTCTGGACCTGCGGTTCTGTGGAACCAGCCTGAACCTGTTCTGAAGGCTTTCTCCATCTTCATGGACCTGCTGCAGCAGAGTCAGCGTGACTACACGCTGTCCACTCAGAGTAGGACTGAGTGACCACTCCAAACAGTCTCTTCACTGTTCATCCACAGCACTCACCATGAATCACTGATGCTTATTATATGGGGTTAATGAATAAAATCAGTCTGCACAGGAAACGAGAAGAGAGAGGAGAGGAGGAGCAAGGGCTCAGAGAGGAGGAGCGAGGGCTCGGAGGAGAGGGAAGTGCCCCGTGTCTGGCTGGGGTCAGGAGAATGTCAGTCAGGGTCTGGGGTCAGCAGGCCTGCGGTCAGTGGAACCCGGCGTTTTCTAGAGAGCCTGCAGACGCCCTTTAACCTCTGTCTGAGCGATGACCCCGGTGACCCCTCACTGAGGCAGGTGGTCATAGATGGCAGTAATGTGGCCATGAGGTGAGAGAGAGGAGCTTGACGTTTCTGAGCAGACCAGCAAATCTGATTTTTTTTTTTTTTTCTCAAATCATCTCTCTCTCTCTGTAGTCATGGTCTGGGACGGTTCTTCTCATGTCGTGGTATTGCTCTGGCCGTTCAGCACTTCTGGCTCAGAGGTCACCGCAGGATCACGGTGTTTGTTCCACAGTGGAGGAAGAAGAGGGACCCTTGGGTCAAAGGTCAGTCAGGATACGAATGTGTTGTGAAGGACGTTACTGTGTGAGGTGTGTCTGCTGCAGTGTGAGGTCTGAAGAGTCTGATGTGTGTGTTGTATCTGTAGAGCAGCACTTCCTGACCAAGCTGTATAATCTGGGCCTGCTGTCTTTCACACCCTCCAGAGATCTTCTGGGCGTCAGGATCAGCTCCTACGACGACAGGTCATTCTCCCCTGCACCACGTCTGCAAATAAGTTCTGTAGATGCTGGAGATCAGTCAGGGTTTCTCTGCTGTATCTGATGTAGATGCTGGAGATCAGGCAGGGTTTCTCTGCTGTATCTGATGTAGATGCTGGAGATCAGGCAGGGTTCCTCTGCTTCATCTGATGATGCTGTAGATCGGTCTGGGTTCCTCTGCTGCATCTGCTGACGATGCTGTAGATCAGGCAGGGTTCCTCTGCTGTATCTGTTGCAGGTTCATGCTGCAGCTGGCCCAGAAGACAGACGGAGTGATTGTAACCAACGACAACCTGAGAGACCTTGTCACTGAGTCAGAGCAGTGGAGGAACATCATCCACAAGAGGTGGAGAAACCACAGAGAGAGAGAGGGAGGAGGAGGGGGTTGGATATAGCTGGCGCTTGGTGATGGTGTTTAGTGGTTTGGTGCTGGGTAATTGGTTTTGGCGGTTTGGTGCTGGGTAATTGGGTTTGAGGTTTGGTGCTGGGTAATTGGGTTTGAGGTTTGGTGCTGGGTAATTGGGTTTGAGGTTTGGTGCTGGGTAACTGAGTTTGGTGTGTGGTGATTTGCAGGCTGCTACAGTACACATTTGTGGGAGATTATTTTATGCTGCCTGAGGATCCACTCGGCCAAAACGGACCAAATCTCAATGACTTCCTGCAGACCTAGGTAACACACACACACACACACACACACACACACACACACACACACACACTTTTTTTTTAATGTGTGTGTGTGTAGATGCAGATGTATAACACATGCACACTCATATTTTTTATGAATAGCTGATTTGTAATTGATTTATCTGTTTTGTTCGCTCTCTCTCTCTCTCTCTCTCTCTCTCTCTCTCTCTCTCTCTCTCTCTCTCTCTCTCTTCAGATCTCACTGTTGATTCATCTTTAAAAACATACAAAAAAAGAGTTTGAGTGACTTTGGGATCTTCGCTCTCTCGCTCTCTCTCTGAATTGTGTGGATGGAATGTGAGGGTGTGATTATGAGCTGCTGTAAGCCCCGCCCCCTCCCTGCTGATGTTTGTGGGTGTTTGTTTATGAATTGCAGCACGGAGTGTAAACACACCTCACTGTGAGGGTGCTGAGAATTTTCTTTTTTATTGTTTGTTTTTTTGGTTTGTTATTTATGAGAGGGAATGCTGGGTAATATTACAGCACAGTACAGCTCTGTGTGTTTTGTGTGTGTGACCTGTAAGGCGCTGCTGGTGGTGCACTGACTCTTGTCTTTTGAATTGGTTTAATAAAGTCAGACTCTTCTCTTCCTGTCTCTGTACTGGTTTTCTCAGGATTGTGTGGAATGGAATTGATTTGATTAGTCAGGTTATACAGATTTAAGTTTATTTTCCCAAAATTCTACAGACTGTAAAAGCAACACGCGCCGCGGATTCCCACCGGACTAAAACCGCTCCGCGATCATTACCGTCGGACCGCAAAAGCTACACACATACTGGATTAGATCACTGCAGTTATTGCTTTTATGGCTGGGTTTCCAGGCGTACATTAATCTTAATCCAATTTAATGTATTTCCAATAGTGAGTCACTCTGCAGTTTAGTCTAACACTAGGCTTAGTCCACGTCTGTGAACCCAGCCCCCAGTTAGCGAACTCTCATTGGATAAAACACTAATCATTAATGTCTAATGTTTAGTTCATTTTTCTTTAATAGCATCATCGTGTTTGTTGTATTTAAACTGTCTTATTTTGTTGTTCAGTTTTGTTGGAAACAAAACAGTTTAAATCTTGATGGACAAGGTGTGTAAAGCTGAGCTGCTCTCTCATTGGTCAGGACTTCAGGGGCTGGACTGAAGGCCTTACACGTTAAATTAACTGCCAACATAACTAGGAAGAGAAGGTCTGGTCTTCTAGTTTGAAGAACAGAAGCCCCCTGATCTCCTGAGTTCTCAGAGTCTCTCCTCCTGCAGGAAGGAGTGTCAGAATTACGCTGTGATACCAACATTCCTCCAGCAGAGGGAGCTCAGCACACCCACCCACCCCCACCCCCAGGCCTGCACCTCTCTCACTTCCTCTGCACAAGAATGTCAAGTCAAGTCAAGTCAAGAGGCTTTTATTGTCATTCCATCTATGTACAAGTACACAGTGGAGCGAAATTACGCTCCTCCAGGAACAACAACCTGCAACAAGGAACAAAAGTACAAAGTACAAAAATACAAAAGTACACAAGTTTCTCACAAGTCTCAACTCCTCAACCTCTCAGTGCAGCACAGCTCTCTCTCTTTCTCTATATCTCTCTCTGTATCTGTCTCTCTCTTTATATCTCTTTTCTGTATCTCTCTCTCTCTCTCTGTATCTCTCTCTGTCTGTATGTCTGTCTCTCCCTCTTTCTCTATATCTCTCTCTCTCTGTATCTCTCTCTCTGTATGTCTGTCTCTCCCTCTTACTCTATATCTCTCTGTATCTCTTTCTCTCTCTGTATCTGTCTCTCTCTCTCTCTCTCTCTGTGCTGTGTATGTGTATATTTATCATCCTATATCAGTCTCTCAGTCTTCACTTCCCTCTGTGCTGAGTTACTGTAAGACAGTTTATATCCTCTCCGTTTAGCCGCACAGCGCTGAGCTGAGGCATTAAAGGGTTCCTGAGATTCGGCCTTATTTACTTTAAATATGAGTTTAATTCAGTGTATAAACGCTGTTGATGTTTTAGGCTCATACAGTCCTTATAAGGAAGCTGAACTGCACAGACTGCCCGGCACATTCACCCCAAGGCAATCAGAACAGAGCTCATTTACATATATCAGTCTTAAAGGCACAGTAACAGCCTGTTTAACCGTGATGGGTGAAGAGAGGATGGAAAATGATCATGTAGAAATGAATTATAACTGTTTTTGGGAGGATATTAAATCAAATCAAGCTTTATGGGTCACACTCAGCCATACACAGTGATATGGTATCTCTGGAGCTGCGTGCGGCTCTTTTACTGCCTTGTGGCTCCACAGCTGAATTAGATTAGTAAAAATAAAATAATCCTCCTTTACAGTAAAATAAAGCTCTGCTGATCGTTCAACACAGTTTAACAATAAATGGTCTTAAACTCTGGAGTTAATGTAGAACTGCTGATTCACCCTTTAACCCTGAAGATCAGCGCAGACTGCTGGTCACCATAGCAACACAGACAACAGTCTCGCCTAGATAGTAGCTAACGACACGGCAAAGAGAGAGATGTAATACGAACATCGATAATTTGGAGATGAATGGACTGATTTGTGTTTATAATCACTCCAGCTGGTTTCCTGACACGTTTAATCTGCAACAAGAAACTAAAAAGTCACGAGGCTGAAGTCAGTTTCTCATTCGCCAGCTTCTGGTTTGAATTTTCCCGTTCCACCTTAAATGGTGCCTGAGGTGCCAGAATGTAACTGCAGCACCATCACAAGAAGCTGGCGAATGAGAAGCGACTTCAGCCTCGTAAAAAGTCGAACGTTGAGAGACATTTTATAAGAAACTGTTACACTTTGGAGGAAAAGTTTCCTGCTGGAGATGTGAGAAAAGCGCCTATAGCTGAACTAAAGCTTAAAGCAGAGCAAAGTGAGTCTGAGTTTTTGTTTATACTACATTTTTTATCCTGTACTATCAAATCAGCACCTACTGAGACATGTTTACAGCCAAGATGGTAAAATGGACATACAGTGTTGTGGCTCTGAAGGTGGATTGATTTTTGCTGAAAGGACAGAATGGCTCTTCTTGAGATTTGGGTGGCGACTCCTGAACTATACAATAGAAAAACATAAGCTAGACTATAAAAGAAAAGGAAGATTATAAATATGCATGTATGTGAAGTGCAGATGTGTGAATATGTGTACAAATGAGCTTAGCAGGATATGGGCCCTTTAAAGGAGTGTGTGTGTGTGTGTGTGTGTGTGTGTGCGTGTTTAGACATGCCATCTGCAGGTATTTTCCTCACAGCACTAATTGCATAACACACACACACACACAGCTCAGGACCTGCACAGGGAGAGTGTGTGTGTGTGTGAGTGTGTGTGTGTGTGAGTGTGTGTGTGTGTGTGAGTGTGTGTGAGAGTGTGTGTGTGAGTGTGAGTGTGTGTGTGTGTGTGTGAGAGTGTGTGTGTGAGTGTGTGTGTGTGTGTGAGTGTGTGTGTGTGTGTGTATGTATGTGTGTATGTGTGTGTGTGTGTGTGTGTGAGTGTGTGTGTGAGTGTGTGTGTGTGTGTGTGAGTGTGTGAGTGTGTGTGTGAGTGTGTGTGTGAGTGTGTGTGAGTGTGTGTGTGTGTGAGTGTGTGTGTGAGTGTGTGTGTGTGTGTGAGTGTGTGTGTGAGTGTGTGTGTGTGTGTGTGTGAGTGTGTGTGTGTGTGTGTGTGTGAGTGTGTGTGTGAGTGTGTGTGTGTGTGTGTGAGTGTGTGAGTGTGTGTGTGTGTGTGAGTGTGTGTGTGTGTGTGAGTGTGTGTGTGTGTGTGAGTGTGTGTGTGTGTGTGTGTGTGTGTGTGTGTTGAAATGACTCTGCTGATGTATTAAAGTATCAGACAGTTCAGCTACATTCAGTTCATCAGTCAGCACTGAGAGTTCATACCACACATAATAATACAGTTTACATTATTATATATACTGTACATTACTGTGTATTAGAGCTGGGCAATATAACACTGTATATCATTATTATGATAAATTATGTCACAGTATGCTTTTCTGACCATATGGTGTTTATCCTCAGTGTTTGTAGACACTGACCAACTGCAAGATTCATTATAAAGAGAGCAAAATTAGTCAGTTTAACTGGATTCAGTGTCAAATACTGAATTAAAACCACTGAGTTCACAGTTTTTGATAGTATTTTTTAAAGTGTAGCACTACTGGCTCATTTTTCTCTGAACAGATGAAAAAATAAATATTGTGACAATAAAAAATAAACATAGTGACAAATATTGCATTATTGTATTTTTGCCATGTCGCCCAGCTCTAACTGTATAACAGTGCTTGTATTGTATTATATTTAATACTGTCTATTATAGTGGATTTAACACAGCCTACCCACAATATAGTACAAATTATATAAACATATGTTGTATTAATTATAGTAGTAAAATTATAGTATTACTGTAGTAGTACAAGCTTTAATATAGTGTCTGTTATATGAGAATGTATTTAATACTACTGTATACTGTAGTGACTTCTTTAGGTGTAATATATGTAATGTACTGCATATAGTACAGACTATATTATTATATTCTAATTGTATTAATTGCATTAAATAAAGTACTGTATGTTAAACTGTGCTCAGTACAGTCTGTATTATTATTATGAAATATAGTGTGTTATGCTAGTCTATATTACACTAAATATACTGTGGGTAATTCTACACTCCTAAAAAAGACGGTTCTTCAAGGGTTTTTTAGTAAAGATAATGTATAGAGTGTATAGAACCATGAACGGTCAAAGAACCTTTTGCATGCTTACCATTTACAAGCACCAAAAAGGGTTCTCGTATTGTTACAAACTTGACATCATAACAATAGCAGAACGTTTTTTGGTGCTATAAAGAACCATTTTCAAAAAGAACCTATATATTATGCATCAGTCTGAAGAACGCAAAGAATCATTCACGCATGCAAATGACTCTGAGTGTTAATGAAGAACCCGTGAAGAACCGCCTTTTTTAATGGTGGAAATAATGAGCAGAATTGGCTAAAAATCATCTCCTCTGTTGCGTCTCTGACTACAGAGTGAACTGCCTCTGGAGGCAACATCAGCAAAATAACTGAGCTTCATGAAATGGGCCTCCATGTCTGAGCAGCTGCACACAAGCCTAAGATCACTATGCGCAATGCCAAGCGTCGGCTGGAGGGGTGTAAAACACCGCTACTGGACTCTGGAGCAGTGGAACCGTGTTCTCTGGAATTATGGTGAATCTGGGTTTGGTGGATGTCAGGAGAACGTTACCTACCAGAATGCAGAGCCAACAGTACAGTTTGGTGGAGGAGGGATGATGG